TCTTGGCCGTTTGTCTTAGAGAACCGTGCATATCATTGGCCAATCGACAAAAAGGGACATTCAGGTGAGGGTAGGGAACAATTTTTTTTCTACCACTAATTTCTGCCCAGTATCAAGATTTTTTCCACAGCTGAGGACAAGACAACTCTGATGCCTTCCTCTGACGGTATCAGTCATCATTTCCTCCAGAACAAACAGAATTTCCAGGGAACATGAGAGAGGCAAGATACATAGTTTTGCGTTTGCTGGGTATTGATGGACACTCCAGTGTTTGGAAATGATCACACCAGGAGACTTTAATATTATCTACAGCTAGGGCCCTACTAAATTCAGAGTCCATTTTGGTCAATTTCATGCTCTCATGAGTTTTAATATGGTAAATTTCACTATTTGAGATATTTAAATCTGAAATCTCACCGATTTGTAATTGATGGGGTCCTGACCCAGAAAGGAGCTGGGGAGGGGTCACAACGTTATTGTAAGGGGGGAGGGTGATGTTGCTACCCTTACTTCTGCACAGCTGTTGGCGGTGGCACTGCCTTTTCAGCTGGACAGATGGACAGTGGGGCTCTGAAGGCAGAGTTACTGCCAGCAGCTGTGCCAGAGTAAGGACAGCCTGGTGTGGTGTTGCCACTCTTATTTCTGTGCGGCTGCGTGCAGAGCTGGGCCTGTGAGGGGGTCACGTACCACCGTAGCGGGGGTCCGTCGTCTGTCCCCCGGAATCAGTCCATTCCGCCCACACCGGCCTCCGCTTACGTGGCGTTTCCCCTCTGGAATCCTCTGGTCGCGTTGCTCTCTTCGCCACACTGCCCTCCGGCAGTGCCCAAGTCACTCGCTCTGAGCCCCCCCTTCCGGGGGTTTGGTGTCTCTCCAGCAGGCCTGTCCGCAGGCCTAGCAGGCTGGCCGGTTGGCTGTCCGAGCGCCCTGGCCCAGCCTGACTCTCTAGCCCTGCCCTAGCTCCAGAGAGCGTCCTGCTCCCTTGGCAGCCAGGCTCACAGCCTTGCCGCAGGCCTAGCAGGCTGGCCGGTTGGCTGTCCAAGCGTCCTGGCCCAGCCGGACTCTCTAGCCCTGCCCTAGCTCCAGAGAGCGTCCTGCTCCCTCGGCAGCCAGGCTCACACTGCCTTGGCTGAAGCAGCCCTTCCCTTTTATAACCTCCAGCTGGGCCTTAATTGGCCAACACCGCCCAGCTGGGCTGAACTCCCCGGGCCTGCTCCAGGCTGGGGTTTGGCTCTTAAGGGGCCCGTACAGGGCAGCTGCCCTGTTACAGGCCCTCCGTCAGCAGCCACCACTCCCTGGCCACCCAGCTCCAAAAGCAGCAGGACAGAAGAAAGGGTGACATGGGGATGGTACTGTCACGTTCACTGCTGCACTGCTGCTGGCAGGTGCTGCCGTCCGAGCTGGGTACCCGGCCAGCATTACAGCCACTGCTCTCCAATATCTTGCCCCTCCTAAAATAACCTTGTGATATATAGGCTAAAGGCACACAAAAGGCCAGATGTCATGGGAGGACACCACATTTCACAGTTTGTGACACATTTTGCTTGGCTGTGAATTTGGTAGGGCCCTATCTATAGCTCTATACACAGATGGGGGAAAATACGGGGGATTTAAAATCGGGTCCGTTCTTGAGGGGCATGCCTGCAAATCAAATCCCTCTCATGGTTGCCCTTATCTATTGGTTGCTATTTTCCACCGAGGACTAGAATTGCTGGAGGGCTGCTCTAGACATGCCAGTAACAGCATGTAATTGTCAAAAGAAGAACCCATGCTGCAGATTGCTCATGGAGGGATGATAGGAGTTACTAGAGAGCTTTCTGGGTGTCTGGCTGGTGAGTCTTGCCCACATGCTCAGGGTTTAGCTGATCGCCATATTTGGGGTTGGGAAGGAATTTTGCTCCAGGGTAGATTGGCAGAGGCCCTGGAGGTTTTTCGCCTTCCTCTGTAGCATGGGGTGCAGATCACAGCTGGAGGATTCTCTGCATCTTGGGGCCTTCAAAGTATTTGAAGGCTTCAATATCTGAGACATAGGTGAGAGGATTATTCTAAGAGGGGTGGGTGAGATTCTGTGGCCTGCACTGTGCAGGGGGTCAGACTAGATGATCATAACGGTCCCTTCTGACCTTGAAGTCTATGAGTCTATGAGATACCAGAAGCATCAGAATGGTCCAGCCTGGCCAAAATAGCCAGGTGGCTGCAATCTAAAATCTAGCTTGGAAACTGGAAGGTCGTTAAGTGACCAGCCTAGTATCAACACCAAAGAAAGGCCAAAAGCTCCCTCCCCATGGGGTTGTTAGTAATTAACACTCAGATCCATAATGTGTCAAATTCTCTCTCAGGCTCCCCGCCCTGCACCCTCCTGTGTGTGTCTGCAAATCTGAGCTAGAAATTTCCTGAGAACAGGTTTTCACATTCATTCCCACTTCTCGTGCCATCTTTACAGTGCGTCTCCCCATCTCACTAGCTCAGTCCCCTCTGAATTCCGCTCCTGAGGTACTAACTGTCTTTTTCCCCTCACCTCTCTCAGCTTGCCCGCTACACCAGGGAGGGATTCCTTCACTTAGGCGCCCTGGGGACCACAACTCTCTTACCGGATACCCGCTGCCTGGTGGATAACATGAAAAGCCGGCTCCCTCAGCTCCTGGATTGTGACAAGGTCAAGAGCAGCCTCCATAAACGCTGGAATTTCATACAGGTTTGTGGTGGTGAGGTTTTCGCCTGCTTCCTTTCCTCCCTTTCATTGTGCCTTGTGTCACATATTCTCTTTACAGCCGTGGTCACCAACAGGTCAATCGCGATCGAATAAAAACCAGACCATTTATTTCATAACTATAAACACCTGATTTTAATTTTATACATTGCATAATTTAAAAATAAACTGTTTATCAGAGTGTGTAAGTAAGGGTTGGGGATAGCAAATGATGACAGGAGGAGAAAATAGAGGGCAGGGCTTCAAGAAAGGGGCGGGTCTTCAAGAAAGGGGCGGGGCAGTAGATCTTCGCCTGTTCGGAGATTTAAAAAGTGATCTTGGGTGTAAAAAGGTGGGAGACCAGTGCTGTACAGCATGGAAGAAGGTAGTTTCTTCAGAGACAGGGGCTACGAGCCAATGTCCTGTGTGAGGAGATGTTCTTGTTCCCCTTTGCTACTTTTACTCAGATAGGTCTGGCTCATCCTGTGAATGATTAAACAAATGTGAGATTCAAGGTGTTTCTCCTGTCCCCTGAGTCGTTTACCCCTGGAGCACAGGGCCCTGAATTCAATAGCTGTGGACCACTGCTGTGCCTATGTACCTATGCAGCCATAGATTTGTTACAAAATGGCCACCCAGATGGGTCTCACAGACCCTAGCTCCTGAAAACTGCCGGTGTCTAAGATGGGACTGTCTAATATATTGGCTCAATCTGTGTGATCATGTCTCCCTCACACAGAGGATAAAAAGCCCTGCTCCTTGCAGGTGACAGATTTCCTGTTAGCTGAAGTGGCTGGGATACAGGGATACATGCATTTCGGCCTGAAGGGTGTCATGTATGATTTTAGTGGAGATTGTTTCATAGTTTGCATGAGGGTGTGTCTAGACTACAGGGTTTTGTCGACAAAAGTGGCCTTTTGTCGACAAAACTATACCTGCGTCTACACTACCAATGAGTTCTGTCGACAAAACGTCGACAGAACTCGGCAGTTTTGTCAACGGCGGTAAACCTCATTCTGCGAGGAATAACGCCTTCTGTCGACAGAGTTCTGTCAACAGAAGGCGTTATTGCATCTAAACTGTCCTTTGCGTCTACACTCTCATGTCGACAAAGCGGCTTGCTTTGTCGACAGAACTGGCTGTAGTCTAGATGCTCTTTGTCGACAGAAGCTTTGTCGACAGTGTCTGACAGTGTCTGTCGACAAAGCCTCTGTTGACAAAAGCCTGTAGTCTAGACGTACTCTTAGTGCCCACCAAGCACTAAGCACTAACCCAGCCCAGATAGGACACAGGCCCTGTCCCAGCAATTGCAGGCAGCCAGCTGTGGGCTACACAGAAGGTCCTTACCTGTGTCTTTGATTTTAGAACGGTGCGATCCTGAATAAGGGGACCGGGCGCTGCTTGGAAGTGGAGAGCAAAGGCATGTCTGGCATTGATCTCATTCTTCGCAGCTGCACCGGACAAAGATGGACAATTAAAAACTTCATCAAGTAAAAGTGCAAAGGCCAGAGCAGTCTGAAGATCGTCACTCAAGGGACGCTTGACACAAGTGACTTGGGCCACTCAGACTGGGATCCTTTTCACCGCTTGGGAGAGAAAGAAATATAAAACCGGAGCTTTATTCATGGTATCAGGAGAGGACATTGGGGAAAGTGGCTATTAGTAGGCTTTTTCTATGGTACATTAGTCTCTCGCACCTGATTCCAACTGGGTGAAATTGGGTCAGAACTGTTCTTTTTTCAAGGTATCCCTTATTTTTGCTGGAATGAAGCCTGTGCAGTCTTACGGATGCTTTATTGACAGGGAAATGCTGCTTTCATTAATGACTTGAAGCTCTAAGCTTTATACTAGGACCAGAGCCAAGAGACCGTGGACAACCCAACCTGGCAAGCAAGAGCACTTGTCTGTCTAAAACAGAAAAAGATTGCCCAGTGTGCAAGCCTAAAATGAGCTGAGTTAAAGTCACCAGGTATTTTAAAATGTCCCCTCTATGACCCATCTTCTTCTTCGGCCTGGAACAGATGTGCTCTATAGTGTCAGGTCTCAAAGGCATCCCCAAATAGCCCATTGGTTTCCCTCTCCCCAGGGCAGGATACAAACTATGCATACAAAATGATGGGGTTTCAATTAGCTGTTCTAATTCAAGAAAGAGATGTGTGAAGTCATTGTAGATAGTTCTCTGAAAGTGTCTGTGACAGTCAAAACAGTCCTGCACCATTAGACAGTAAATATCATAATGCTAATATAGAAATCCATGATACACCTACTTCCTGAACATTGTGTCCAGTTGTGGTTGTCCTATCCCCAAAAAGATATATGAGAATTGGAAAAGGTGCCAAGAACGCAACAAAATATCAGGGGTATGGAACAGCTTGCATTTGAGGAGAGATTAAAAAGACCAGGACTGCTCAACATAGAAAAGAGATGACTAAGGGAAGACATGCTAGGGGTCTATGAAATCATAAATGATGTGAAGAAAGTGAGTAAGGAAGTGTTATTTATTCCTTCATATAACACAAGAACCAGGGATCACCCAATGAAATTAATCGGCAGTAGGTTTAATGCAAACATAAGTATTTGTCAAACAATGCACAGTTAACCTATGGAACTCATTGCCAGAGGATGTTGTGGAGGCTAAAAGTATAAGTGGGTTCAGATAAGAATTAAATAAGTTCCTGGAGGATAGGTCCAGCAATGCTTATTAGCTTAGAGGCTCAGGGATATAACCCCATGCTCCAAGTTTCCCTAAGCCTCTAACTGCCAGACTCTGGTCATGGATCACATGGTAATTCCTTGTTCTAGTCATTCCATCTGAAGCATCTGGCACCAGCCACTGTCAGAAGACAGGATAGGGGGCTAGGTGGACCAGAAGTTGGAGACAGTGTGGCTGTTCTTGTATTCTTTTCTCATGCCAATTCCTTTGTCAAACTAAATTAGTTGAAATTAAAAAAAATTGATCGTTGTTGCCTTACCCCTCCACTTACATCCATGCCACCTCTGGCAACAGCAAAACTTCGCTTCCGTGCACAAGTCTGTTGAGAGTAGTTCTCTTCTGTATCTTCCACCTCCTAAGAGTTGCACTAAATACAACTCTCTCTTCTCCCGCATTTGTGTGAGAGATTTTCTCATCTCACGCATTTGCCAAACAGCATCCAAAACCCACCACCTCCACCCGGATGGGTTCTCCTCTACTAACACCTTCCAGTTCCCCCCTTCCCCAAAGTGACTGCTGCCCCTTCACACTGATTTCAAAATGCTGCCCCATGGCAGAACTAACCCAGCGTGTGTTAAGTGAGGAGGCCAATGGAAGTGTCTTGACCCACCAATCGAATGCCAAGCAGTGACTGCATAGGAATGGACTCTCCTGCAACACTTCGTTATCCTGTTGCTGTTCTGTACTTTTAAAAGGGAGGATAATTATGCTAGTTTGCCTGCCACGCCAAGAACAAGTAACAGGAGAGCAGATCCCAGCAAGGCAAGCTTCTGAGAGAAGTAGTGGGACTGATTTTAAAATACCCTCCCGACAAATGAACACAAAATAATAATAAAAACTCCTCTGCTTTGCAGCGCTTTTAGTCTTACCTCCTCGTGGTGGATGCTTGAGCCACTATGTTTGGTGTATCTCTGTCATTAGGGCCTGCTTATCACAATCCTGGTTTCTGTGATTCTTCATGAGCTTTGACTACACCAGGGAGTTAGACACAGAGACATGAATGTCATTTGGGTCCATACTGATTTGCCACAAGTTCCTGCCTTGGCACTATCACCATGGGTACGTCTACACAGCAGGACAAAAGTCGAATTAAGCTACGCCACTTAAGGTATGCCAATTGCGGCGCTGAAGTCGAAATAGCTTGCCTTGGCTTTTGGCGCTGTCTACACTGCAGGAAGTCAAAGGAAGAACCCTCTTCCTTCGACTTCCCTTTCTCCTTGTGAAATGAGGGTTACAGGAGTCCGAGTAAGAAGTCCTCCAGCTCAACATTATTTCAAAATAAAGGCTTGTCATGTAGCTCTGTACTAGGGTGGGAGGGATAGCTCTGTGGTTTGAGCATTGGCCTGCTAAACCCAAGGTTGTGAATTCAATCTTTGCGGAGGCTGTTTAGGAATTTGGGGCAAATATTTGTTGGGGATAGTACTTGGTCCTGCTGTGAAGGCAGGGGACTGGACTTAATGACCTTTCAAGGTCCCTTCCAGTTCTACGAGATAGGCAGTCTCCATTATAAAAAATGTTCTTTCAGAATAACGGTCGCTATTCAGAAATAACGCTGCTGTGTAGACACACCCTGCCTGGGTTTTGAACCAGATGAGTGTTTACTACCCAATTTTTAGCCATGATAGGTATCCCTCCATCCAATATTGAGTTTGGATCTTGGTGGCAGGGCAACTGAGAAAGGGGACTAGTGACATACCAAGCTACCTGTGTTTTACATGGACGTTAAAAGAATTCATTTCACATCGAGCTGTGTCAGTCATGGGGCAGAGGGAGCCTCCTTTCTTTTCTCACAGAATAATAATTTTTCTGGTTGCCCTCTGGTCAGGGTGAGCTAAAATATATTAATATATGAGATGAACATGTAAATATCATTCCCAAAGACTGGATGTACACAGAGTTGTTTGCTGCAGAGCACGCGTGCCTGTCTTCCATTCGGGAAAGGATAAAGCTACCTTGATGTTTAATGAGTTTCATTGTCAATGCCATGCAATAGGTTTATAGCTGATGTTTTAGTAATTTATTGAAAGAAGCAGATGTATTTCATTGTTCCTTCTACAGCAAAGAACATCATTGTTCAATCATGCTTGACAAGACTCCCTCCTTCATTGGCATTTCTCTGATTTTTTACCCCCGCGCTCCTTAATGAAGTGAAATCTTTAGTTGTCCTGAATTGCACAGTAAGGAGTCAATGTAGAGCTTTGCTCTCTTATTAGCTGTCGCATCATCTCTTGTGTAATAAATTTTAGCACTTACAAAACCAGCATGTGTATGTTTTCAAATGTCTGAGAGTTTCCCCCTTTGTTCATTGCCATCTTGTACTGAAAATAATTTGCCAAGAAACTTTTTACGGAAAATGCTTGCGGGGGAGGGGCATGCTACAAAGTTAATGATAAATGCAATAAAATTACCTCTGACTGAGTAAATCATTTCCTAAAGGCCATCAGTGGAAATAATGTATTGCTTAATGTTGGGAGAACTCAAAAGCTTTCAGCATAACCACTCAAAAAGCTCAACAGTTATCTGAAATCTTTATGCCTATTCCAAACCAAGAGGCCAGTCCCGCAACACTTAGGGTATGTCTAGATTGCAGCTCTCTGTCGGCAGAGGGATGCAGATCAGGCAGGTTGACATTGCAAATGAAGCGGGGATTTAAATATCATGCGCTTAATTTGCATAAAATGGCCACCGTTTTTGCCGACTCAGCACTTTGTCGACAAAAAGCGGCAGTCTAGAGGGGGATCTGTCGAGAAAGAAAACATTTTGACAGATCCTGTAAACCTCCTTGCCGGAGGCATAAGGGATCTGTCGAAAAGGCTTTCTTTCTTGACAGACTGCCGCTTTTTGCCAACAAAATGCTGAGTCGGCAAAAATGGCAGCCATTTTATGCAAATTAAGCACAGGATATTTAAATCCCTGCTTCGTTTGCAATGTTGACCTGCCTAATCTGCATCCGTCCGCTGACAGAGGGATGCAGTCTAGACATACCCTTAGGCATGTAGGATACTCTACTAAAACAAAGTTACATCAGTAGTTGAATCAGTGTTTGCAGGCCTGGGGTCCCAGTGAGGCTGAGCAATTGGACCACTGATCTCACATTGAACAGCGTTCTATATGAGCGTTCTGTTCTCCTTTCTATGTGCACTAAAAATAGCTTGAGAAGAACCTGTTTTTATCAGTTTTGCTTCCAACTTGGAATAGAAGTAATATGGTCAGCGTCAGGCAATAAGAACCATCTCATTGCACCAGAATTTGTCTGGATTTGTTTTGTGCTCGGGTTGTATTTTATGAGATTGTTAATAAGTTTTTTAAAGTTTTGAAACTATTTGATAAGATCATTTTATAAATCATAAGTAAATGCAAAAAAATGAAGAGGATTTTGGAAGGAAACAAGGCATTTCTGAACCTTCTGATTCGGGACTCAAATGGATGGAAGTTTGGGAAGAAAAAGAAATTCCCCTAAATTGGTTTCCAATCAGCATACATGAAAAGCTTTAAAAAAATCAAGAAAACTTCAGTGGACAAGCTCCTGGGTGAAATTCTGGCTCCGTTTTACCACTAACTCTCTTGTATTCATTTTGTTAAAGTTCTTACATTTAGGACTGTAAACTCCAGAGAGAAGTCAAAAGCAAAACCTGAGGCTATGTCTAAACTATGCTGAAGTTTCGAAAGAGGATATGCAAATTCCGCTTTCAAAAGTGAAAGTAGTCGGGACGCGATTTTTTTCGGCAACCCCCCCATTTTTTGAAAAGCTGCTCTTCCTCAAAAAATGAAGTTTACATGGCTTTTCGAAAAGGGGGAGGGGCTGCCGAAAAAACTGCGTCCCAACTACTTTCACTTTCGAAAGCTCTGCTTTTGAAAGTGTGATCCGAAGAATTTGCCTATCCTCTTTCGAAACTTCAGCATAGTCTTACAAATCTGGATCTAACTACTGCATCTTGGGGTGTGCCTACACAGCATTGTTAGTTCGAGATAACTAATGTTATTCTGAGATAACAATCTGAGCATCTACACAGCCATTCCATTATTTCAAAATAATTTCAAAATAATAGACGGCTTATTCCGAAATCTGTAACCCTCATTCTACAAGGAGTAAGCCTGTTCCAAAATAGCTATTTCCAAATATGGAGTGTGTAGATGCTGCACCGCTGCTATTTCAAAATAGTCCCTCACCAGGGCCTTTCTAAGCTATTCCTCCCCAGTGCCTCCTGGGGCTCTAAATCGAGGTAGCACGTCTATATTGGGAAGCCTGCCTCAGATTCATTTTGAGGTTTCCCTGCAGTGTAGACGTGCAATTTCAAAATAAGCTATTTCGGAATAATTATTGCGGAGCCTTGCATCTCCCTACTAATTTGTTAATTGCTTCCTCAAGCAAGGTCTTGGTGTTTTACCTCTCCAGTCCAAGGATTGGATGATGCCACAAAAAGGATTGGATGCCATGAAAAGATGGAGGAACTCAATGTCCCTTCCTCCCTATTTTACACAAAGAGGATTTTAGAAAAATGGAACTTAGGTTTTAGAAAAATCAACACGAAAGGGAGATTGTCTATGCAGATTAGTTCGCCATTCCATTCTGTCAGTCACAAAGCTAATGAAAATATATACTGAAAGGTGCGAAATCACCGAGTCAGATGTATTGTTTGTGAGTCATTACGCACAGGAGATGGACTCGGGGGGTCATGCTAAAAGTTCTTTTTAAGGGATATTACAAGGCTAATGGAAGAACACCTGCCTTGTCATTGCAATGTAATTATGTAAGTTCTTGAATTTATAACAAATCAGTGAAGGTCAGAGGGAACTTCACAAATCCAACCTACTCTGTGGAACTTCAAGGTCAAAAATGAGCTTGTATCCCGACAGTCAATACTCTTTAGCAGTATTTTTTGCCACTGCCCTGGGCAGATAGCCAAGCTTTCAGAAACTTCATTTTCCAGTTTAACTCATGAACTCCCAATAGAAAAGTGTCTCTCCTTCACCACAAAGTCACTGCTGATGTGTATGGCATTAAGCACTCCATCATGCAGTGTGAAATTAAACATTGTGAAATCCCTATCCTGAAAGGACTGAAGCATCTAAGAAACCACAGATGAGACTTCTTGGCATGCTTTCGAATGCCACTTACAGAATGTCTGCGTGACCATGAGAAGCCTTAGATGCAATTTCGGAATAATCCATTGAAATAATCCATTGTGGGCCAGACTTTCTTAATTTGAACCAAAGTGTCTTAGGGTATGTCTACACTAGCCACCCTAGTTCGAACTAGGGTGGCTAATGTAGTCATTTGAACATGCAAATGAAGCTCGGGATTTAAATATCCTGGGCTTCGTTTGCATGTTCCCAGGCACCGCCATTTTTAAATGCCCGGTATTTCGGACTCCCTGCAATGAGGAGTAACGGTAGTCTGAATTAGGGGCGTTAGTTCGAACTACCTAGACCATGCCGAGTGTAGCCACGGGCAGGGAGTCCGAAATACCGGGCATTTAAAAATGGTGGCGCCCGGTAACATGCAAACGAAGCCTGGGATATTTAAATCTCGAGCTTCATTTGCAAGTTCGAATGACTACATTAGCCACCCTAATCCAAACTAGGGTGGCTAGTGTAGACATACCCTTATAAACTTACATAAACCATTCCATTCCATTGTTGTCAGGTTCAGGGATCTGAATTTTCCTCCCTTGTAGCTCTGCCTACCTGACAACTGAAGAAACGCCTGGCTTCAAGACACGCCCCAGCTTTGCAGCATTTACAGCTTTGGTAGAAAACTGGAAGTTGGGGTGAGAGATTTGGAGGCATTTATTTGTATGAGATGGTTGCCAAAATCGGCCCTCCATACCTTCACAGACAAGAGTTACACAGCACTATAAAGTCAATGGACTTAAGTATGTGCAGACAGATAGCAATGTGTGTAAGGGTACGTCTAGACTACCACGTTTTGTCGACGAAGTTTTGTCGACAGATACTGTCGACAAAACTTCCGTCGACAAAGAGCATCCAGACACATTGAGTTCTGTCGACAAAGCAAGCTGCTTTGTCAACAGAACTCCGTAGTCTGGACGCAATGTTATAGGCAATAACACCTTCTGTCGACAGAGTTCTGTCGACAGAAGGTGTTATGCCTCGTAAAATGAGGTATATCAGCATCGACAAAACTGCTGAGTTCTGTCGACGTTATGTCAACAGAACTCAGCGGTAGTATAGACGCTGGTATAGTTTTGTCGACAAAAGTCCACTTTTGTTGACAAAACTAGGTAGTCTAGACACACCCTAAATGTTTTGGGGACTGGGGTCTGCAATGGAAGCAAAATAACTTGTTTCAGAAACAGAATGACTTAACATCTTAACCCAACAGAAACAAAGTTGCTCTTTTTGTGTTCGTTAAAGATCTCTTTTTTTAAAAAGCACACAGGTGTCGAATGCAGTTTCCTGGATAGATTCCTTCAAAAATTCCTACGATAGCTTCACCTGGATGCAGCTCCTGGTATTGTCTGTCCGAATTATGGCATGGCATTGCTGAATATTGTTAGACTCTGTGCTCTTCACGTTGGTGACCATATTCTTTTCTCCAGAGGGGGTGCACTGATAAAAGTTTCTCTCCAAAAGGAGGTTAAACTTCTGTGCAGATTGGGACCAACTGTCATTTCCACAAGCCAAATACACAGGGAAGGTTTGGAACTTACCTTCATTAACAAGTTTGATTCCTATCAGAGAGGAATACATACAGACATTGACTGGCTGGCACACTACCTTCCGCATCCTAATGACTTAACCAACCAAACAATGGGTACTTAAAGAGGTGCCAATTGTTCTTATCCACGTCTCATAACTTGAACAATCTAATTCACTATTATTTTTTTGAATTTTATTTTCCCCTCTCCTTCCCCCTACCTTCCCTTATTTATTCTTGGAGCTAGACTTTTAATACTCCAGTCATCTGAAGAAGTGTGGTGTTCCCACAAAATCTCATGATCCCATCTACATGTTTGGTTAGTCTTTAAGGTGCTGCCGGATTATTTGTTGTTTTTGAAGTTTTTTCAGTTAGGGTACGTGTGACGGGGCGGACAGGCCCCGCACTGATGAGCAAGGGATAGCCCAGGCCCAGCTGGCAGAGAAGGCCCCGCCCCTCCGACCCTGCTGGGCATGCTCCCAACAGTGGCTGGGTATAAAGGCAGAAGGAGCCCTGCAGTCAGGGAGGCTGCAGGGTGTGGGAGGAGCCCAGGCCAGGCCAGGCCAGGCCAGTGTTCTTGCAGCCGCTGGGACCAGAGTCGCCGGCCGCGCCGGACCCTGACACGGAGGACGCAGCTGCCGACCCTGGGCGGCAGGAGCGCGCCCACAACCCCGCCAGGTACTGCCTAAGAGGCGAAGGGGCCCGGGGGGACCAGGGCGCGGTAGGAAGCAGCCCAGGGCAAGGGAAACAAGGTTTGGCTCAGC